TCCGTGTTAAAATATATTTTTAAAATTTTACAAAACTAAACATCCTACAGTATTTTTACAGTCTTTATTTTACAGTAAAAACAAATGTTTATCAAATAAAGTYTAATGTCACAACTAATCAGAGATCCCTTGAAGTCTTTCTCCTTGAATTTACCTGTAAAAAGTCGTTTTTTCTTGCCGTTTATAAACAGAGTTATGAAGAAAACCAGGAACAAGTTTTGTATCATGTTTTGTAGCTTTTAAACGTTCCCTCATAAAAGTGAGCCATTATACTGAGTTCAAATCTGTTTGCTTTTTCTAGTCATCATTGAAAATCCTCTAGTCTCCAACAAAGACCCAAACAATGGAGACAAGTTCTGCCCTACATCACCAAGGTTGGTCAACTTTAATAATACTCACTAAACTGAAAAGCTTTGCAACACGTTTTAAACGGTGACATAATACTGTGTAACACCAGTCGCTGTTATCCAGTGATCCTCTGTATAAATCTGCTGTTTCAGCCACTACAGGCTGCTGGTGACAGAGGCTCACTCCCAGGTGTATCTGTGCACTGACRTCGACACCGTCGACAGGCTGCTGCCGTTGATCCACATCCCCGTCAAGGACTCCAGAGACTTCTACTCTCTGGGGGACATCGTGGCCAATGGACAAAAGCTGGACGGCAGAATAATAAATATCCTGGCTGCCATCAAACAGGTCAGAAACTTCAAATTCTGAACAGACAAATAGCTGGTTTGAAGAGAATCTACAGCGATTCTATGATCTGTTTCCAGATGGGCGAGATGAAGCAGTTCACCACTTCAGACGGGCGCAGAGGGCAGAGGCTTGAAGTGAAGCTCTTCGACGACTGCGTCTCATCCTTTCCCCTCGTCTGGTGCTCGAGACCAAGGCTTACTCCTTCTGTTGTCTTTCGCAGAGTCACTGTTTCTGATTAACCGTCTAAACTGTTTGATTTTCCCCCTTTTTTTCTTTTCTCGCTCGCCCTCTGCTCCCCTCACAGCTGGGACAAGGAGACCATTCAGATCCTTCAGAGCTTAGTGCTCAAGGAGACGGGTAGGCGAGCAGCTGCTTCTCGTTATCGGGCACAAATACAAGGCGTTCTTTTTCACTGTCATTCCTGCCAAACGTGTTGATAACGGAGGTAAAACCTCTGCTTTTTGAACTCCCGACCGCCTTCTCAAAGTGCTCTTCATAGCCGACGCAAAGATTAGCTTCGACAACTTTCGCAGCAGCATGGTGGCCACGGTTAACTTGAAAAGCGTCGTTACCGTCAATCCCGGTAAGAGATCCCAGCAACATTTATTTTTCTCTTTTTGCTAGTGTTACAGTAAGTGGTTCTTAGTAAGGACTTACCACAGTGGTGTTTGGGTTTTCAGACACGAGAGAGGCCAGTCTGTTGTTGAGCTACGCTAAAGACCTGTCAGAGTCTGGAGCTCTGGATCAGGACGAGGCACCAGAGGATCTGCCCGGTACGCTCCAGTAAACTTTTACTGTCGAGGTGAAAACGGAGCCTCGTGTTTTGCAAATTATTCAGACATAAAAACAGGGTTCCTGCAGATCCTTAAAAAAGTCTTAAAAGGCGTTGAATTCATCAATCCAAAAATAAGGCCTTGATTAACCTTAAAATGTCTGAAATCAGTCTTTCAGAAGCCTTAAAAATTGTAAATAGGATGATTGTAATTCATCTCAAATATTAAAATAATTGGTAACATTTGAAGAAATTTATAGTTATTATAGATTAGTACTGATGTTAGAAACAACACTAGATTATTAGG